AAATAGTAGCAAATGGCTCAGATACCCAATCCTTAACCTCATTCAAAACCTTTGGGGAAATATTATTTGACCCCAGGAGCCTTATCATTCTTTAAACTTCCCAATTTTTTTAACAAGCTCAGAATTAATGTGATCATCTTATTTGATCTTGTTTCCACTTACCAACTGTTTAAGATGAGCAATATTGCTTAAATCTTCATTAGTAAAACTGAAGTAAAAGCAAAATTTAATGACCCAGCTATCTCATAATCATCAGATAAAAGCCTTCCTTTATCACCCCTCAAAGGTCTTACCTGCCATCCTAACATTTTGTTTACCCTTAATATATTGAAAGAAATTCTCAATGTTAATTTTTTACATTTTCAACCAACCTTTTTTCATACATCCTTTTTGATTTCCTGTTTGACCAACTTTCTTGATCTTCTGTAATCTTCTAAATCTCCCATTATACCAGTTAATTTAAATTTCTTAAATTTGTGATGCTTTTCTTTAATTTTATCTCTTATATCGTTCGTAAGCCAACCTGGCATTTTACTTGTAGCCACCCTTTTCTTTTTATAAGGAGTATGTTTATCTTGAATATTCAAAAAATTATCTTTAAAAATTTTCCACATCTGGTCAGTGTTTCAAAATAACTCGGCTGCTCAATTTACAACAGATAATTCTTGTTGCACCACTTCAAAATTAGCTTTTTTGAAATTTGTAACCAAAATATCATGTTTGTTACAATTAAATCCACTAATTTTAGCCCTAATAGTACTTTTTCTAACTTCCTGAAAGTCATTGTTAGCTGATGTATCCTTTTCATGTAAAAGCTTAAGTTCCTCTTGAAATCCTGCTGCCATTTCCCACAGTTTACCCTTCTCTTCATCTGTTGTCTTTACTTTAATTAGGATAGCTTCCAACTTCTACTCCAAGTAACTTGAAAACTTTCAAACAAATTCCACATCTTTACTGCTAGTTTCCTTAAAAGAACAAACTATTACTGAGTTCCCTAGTAAAAACCTACTCATTGAACCCATCAGACCTAACACGCTTAACTCCTACACTAGTCTTAACCATTCTATTTATAGTCTGGGAATAAATACTCAACACTAAATACCAGTAGCCTATTGATAACACTGTTAAGCCTAATGTTTGAGAATCAAATATATTACAGTATTTTATCACTACTTTATCTTTACACTAAAATAATTAAGTTTATCTTTAATTATATGAAAATTACAAATAACTAGTCTTTACTTTAGTTTAGTTGATATTTATGTAATAATACAATGCATTTAGCGTGATTTATAACCTAACTATAACTTATAATCTGAATTTAATGGATCTAAAGTCAAGTAACTAAGTTTATCCTTAAAACATGGAGACAATCAACTAGTTTTCAGATTATATTTGTTTAATAAAACTATGTATTTAACCTGTTTTATGATTTATCAATAAGTTTAATTATAGCTGAACTTAAAGTACCGTTACACATCCTAAGCCAAATCTAACATTGTAGTGCAGGTTACATCGCTAAGCTCTAACTTGAAGCTTTAACCCTATTATTTTTATTTACCAATCTTCTTAAATCTAGTTATTCTTTTATTATTTAACCCAAATTACTACAAATGATAATATTACATAATATTCAAAAATCTCCAAAAGCTTAGCTTTCTAACATCTTCTCTCTCTTGTACTGTCCTCTCCTGATGACATAACCTCACCCAGCTTATTTTTTCCCTGTATATTTATTCAGTAATTACTACTTCTGTATTACAAAAGTTAAAACAAGCATGAAGAAATGTTTTTTGTGGACACACACACAAAATCCTGTGATGTGACAATAATCTGGAATAAAACACACCACATTTACCTATTTTAATTTGTTTAATTTTTTACACCAGCACAAAAATGAAGGATTGGTGAGGACCAGAAGAAGCACATGCCTCGCTTGGCCGCCACTATGGCAGTGATATGTTATGCACAAAATCATATCACAGTCATCTTGACGTGTCTTGAGAGGATAATTTTACTTCTTTGCTCATAACAACATTTTCTGTTCTCTTATGATATAATTTCATATTGGGTATTTTATCATGTACTAGGCATTGTACCTTGTGTATAGAAATGTTAGTTGGTTTATGTTCAAACTATTAGATAGTCTTTAATTCAAAAAACTTTATTCTAAGACGTTGTGTTCAAATTGTAAAAGGAATTTGTATCTAATAAAAGGATTAAAACAAGGATGTTTTAAACTAAATTTTGATGCAAGTCTCTACACCAGTGGTTGCTCCCAAAACTAAAAATTGCTTTCTTTAACAGTGGTTGTAAAGTAAAAGTTATTTCAGACACTTTCAAATATTAATTACTTAGCATCTCAAGCCAGAAGTTTTTATAGACATTCTTTACAGCAGAGACTATAACACGACTGAAACCAAATGTCTTATATTTGTAAAGTATATATCTTAAGAATTTTTAAAAATGGTAATCCAATGACTGAAACTAAATTTATTGAATTTTATTGCTTATAAATACGCTGGACATCATCCTACATTTTTCAGCATTTTTCAACTAAATTTTAGTTTTGCAATATAATATACATTATTCTAATTTTTTTATAACAATGATCAACCTAATGACTGAAACTGTGTCACTAAACTGAGATGCATACTTTATAGTTTGTTGGTTTAATCACATGGTGATTGGCTGTTATATTTTGAAAATTATACAGTTTATAAATTGTATTGACTTATTATTGATAAAGCCCCCTAGTGGCACCACGGTATGTCTGTGGACTTGTACTGCTAGAAACCGGGTTTCGATACCCATGGTGGGCAGAGCACAGATAGCCCTTTGTGTAGCTTTGTGGTTAATAACAAAGAACAATTATTGATACATAAAATGAGATCAAGATCAGGCCAGGAGATGTAGGCTAAATAAACTAGGTGACAGCAATAATGCATCAGATTTTAGTAAAACTGAAAATAGAAGAGGGAGATAGAATGAAACAAATATTGACTGGGGATTGTAGGCAACAGAACATCTATTGCCCTCATAACCAGTCAATAAATGTTTATTATCAGTTTTTACAGCAGTGTTTACATTTTGGCTGAAACCAGGTTTACCTAGTTGAATTGTAGTTTCTAAATATCGAGTACATCGTTTTCAGTTCTTTACACTGATTGCCTTTTTTACTGAATTCAGATTTATTTACTGCCATGCTGTTTGCCACATTATACCTTATCTCAGGTACTTTCTAGCTAGATTAGTTACTAGTAGATAGATTTTACACTAATTGTTTCCGATTATAGTATCAATCTTTAGGCTTATAAAAAATGTTCATAAATTAGTGGCAACTCAATAATTATATCTGCTGTTTCTTTACAAACTGGGCTGTATTATTATATTCTGTAACTTACGTTTTCTTGTAATGTTGTACTGTAAATATAACTAAAGCTTGGTTAGTAATTAGTATTAAAAATAAATTGGGAAATGAGGTCCCAACAAGTTCAGCATTAGACCTATATTAGAATTTGCTAAAAGAAACTTAGAAGTTGGAACCAGATTCTCATCTTTCACAGTATCAGTGTCACTATCAGTATGGCTGTCGTTCACATCGGCGATTCACGACCAACTGTGATGAGTAAATTGACAATTTCGAATTTCATAATTAAATAATAAATAACAAAAGATGCACCGGATGTAAAGTGCTTACCTTTATGCCTATCACAAGAATGAATCTCACTGAAAAAATATTTGTAACTTGATATAAGCCTATAATTACGTCTACTTTGCTATTCACTTCTTGTTAGTAAGCTTTAAAACTTAAATTTGGTATTGGCTCGTATTAATAGCCAACAAAAAACGTACACTTACTGGGAGTATGCGCAGTAAATGTTAATAAAGGCCACACATTTATTTTTCATAATGAAAATATAATTTTCAATGATGCTGAAGAAAAGCTGCAACTGATTTATTAGATATTTTCTGATATTATTTGTTGGTAAAGTACACATTCATAGAGAAACATTACGTTGTTATAATAGCAATGGTGTAACGTCACCATCAATATAAAGAAATGTTCAAAACTTAATAGCAGTATTAAATGTCCCCCTCCACCGCAGCCTCAGCTTGTCTAAGGGCCCATAACGCTAACATTCGGGTTTTGGGTGTATTTTGCAGTGGAGTTTCTAAATGTATATTATTTAGGCTTCCTTCTTGAGTGTTTTATTTTACACTAGAACTTGTGTAAGCAGTGACATAAGTTTTGGTTTCAAAAGTTTACAAGCGTCCTAGATTTGCCATGAAAAAGTCCAAAATCGTCATCACACATTGCCTGCGATGGCCAGGCACAGATAATCCATTTTGTAGCTTTGTACTTCTAATTTAAATAAAGAAAATATGTGCAGTACTAATTATCTGAGACAACTTATATTAGCAATTAAAGTTGAATATACATATATTACGTAGAGAAAACACACAACTCAACTTGTTTTAAAGTTAATTACCAAGAAAGAAAAAACAACTGGGTACCATATATAGTACTTGTAGTCTCCTTTTACTTCACTTTTACCAACAGTAGTCTGTACACAGTCTTAACAGCTTTGACTTTTATAATGCTGTGCACATCTTTCCTGCCAACAAGAATAACAAAAAAATAATTACATATGTAAATAATAAGCCTTTTAGAAATGTGTACATTTTAAACACACAATATAATTGTAATATGTGTTCTATAAAGTATTTTAATATCATAATCGTGTCTCAATAACCACGTGACATATGACAAAAACATTTCACCATTTTTTCAAGTGTTGGGACTCGGATCCAATTTCAGGTGCCAGAGCGACGCTCCTTCATTAGTACACCCCTATTTAATAAGAACCATTTTGTTATTACTTTTTTATATTTTATGTGTACCTATTTGGAGTACATTTGTGTTCTTTCTGGGGCAGCTTAGAATTTTCTTTCGTAAGATAATATATTAAAATATTTTACATACGCTAGACATTCCTATATGTGTAAAAAGGAGTAACCTTAAGAATTGCATTTGTATTTTTGTTCTATGCTTTTGCTTTGAAAGTATAATTAAAAAAATATATATTTTGTGGTCGTAGAAAAAAAAATTAACGTTAAATACTTGTAGTTAAAGGTTGAAATAGTTATTTTATTTACCCTTTCTGAACGTTTATCAAAAAGAAGTTGCCCTTACCTACCATCGCAAATTGTTTAAGTAGGGGGCGTAATGATACATTAAGAACTTGTATAAAATGTTTAATGGGATTGAAAATAATTATCGGCACGAAACAATTATTCATATTTTAAGGAAAGTAAAATTTTATCCACAATGAACAAGAAAATCAGTGTAAACTATTACTGCTTCCCAGCAGGCTTCGTTCTTTAGTTTGACTGTGAACTTTGATCATAGTTTAATAGAATATGCCCATATGGACTCATTTTCCAATAGTTATATCTTCATGAGACGTGCATGTTAACCATTTCTCATCCTTGTGTTTTGAAAATCGTATATGTGAAATTATTTGTGTCTTTGGAATACATTTAATTTTCCAAAGCTTTTTGGAAGTTCGTATACTTTTTTTTTTAATTAGTGATATATAATAACACATTGTCAGCGACAGAGTTTACATTAATTAATTGTTGGACTATTTGTTTTTGTAAACGAAAGTTTGTCTAGCTCCCTCTAACATATTTTCTCTTTCAACCTTTTTGTGTATTCATCTAGAAATTGTGTTTGAGAATTAATGGATAGTAACCAGATTTGTTCTCCTAAATTAGTATTTTTGTTTTGGGAATTATTCTCTAATGACTTGATAATGTATACACGAGGACATACAGCATCCAGTTCATGAACATCCGCCATTAAGCCGTCAAAATAATCTCTTTAAGAATACAACCCGCCCATGGAGATTAACTATGTATAGCTGCTGAGTTGCCGTTTCCCATAGCAACAGCTGATAGAACCTAGATAAATGACACCGTGTGTCACTTGATCGGGTTCCAGCTCTAGCTGGAAGGAACAATGATATAGATTGTACGTGTAAACTAGTGTAAGTGTTTGAACGCAAACACAACCCCGAGATGAAACAAAGTTCAGAAGCGTCATTACACATTGGACTAATGCTTTAGAGCTAAATCCTCGTTCAGCATTTTAGTATCCAGCTTCACTCTATTGGGATTAAGTTGACATTAAAACAGTCCTTATAGGCACATGTTTAATGCAGTAAGATACGACAGGTAAATTGTTTTGTGCTATGCAGGTCGATCGTATTTTATACTTTAAAATGAGTGATCTAGTTTGAAGAATGCCGAGTTTACATTTTCCTTAGATATTGTCTTTAATATAGTCATAGACAGGAATTCTTGTAGATTTACGATCTTTTAAAGTTTAAAAAAAAGGTGGAGAAATCAGAACTATCTTATGAATAATACTTTTTTTTTGTACATACAATTCTCAAGAGAAGCAGGCCTATGGTCTGAGAACAACTTTATTTCTTTCATTGTCTATTAAGAAAGTTTTAGATTGTAATCCAAGAGATGCTGGCTATATTGAGAGAAACTCTCTGTGCGTATTTAGAGAGAATCCGAGTCATTATTTGAAAATAATGTTCTTTTAGCACAGTTTACGTTTATATGATAATTACAAATAAAAATCTTGATTATGCTCTGTACATGAATAGAAAAACAGAAATACAAATGTACCTAAATATCAAAAGATCTGCTAATATGTTGATTTTTTCTGTGTGAATAGACAAACAAGTGGACTGAGAAGAACTTGCTAGCATTCCGATTTTGTGTATGTGAACATATCTCGTCAAACCTGAAAAAAATAGATCAATCAAGCCTATTATATTTTTGCATAGATAGATTAAAATTCCGAGCACTCGTTGTTAAATTAAGAAACCAAAAATCAATATCAAAATTATTTAGAGCGAAATTAAAAAGACAGTAGCACAGAAACAGAACTACGAATAAACCGGTTGTGTTTGTGGGTATGCGTAAAAAGAAAAGGCATATAAGTAACTAGAGTGCAGGCATTTGTTCTCCTTTAACGTGTGGCATGGCTGGTTTCTTGCGTATAAGAATGCATACTAGTTATAATTTGAAGACTTACTGAAACACCGTATAAAAATTGAAAGAGCTAAACCATACGTTGATTACTGATCGTAAGAGATGGTGTTCTGGGACAAGAAGGCGATTTAATAGCTGCTTTTCTGCGATTGTAATGTGCATATCGGTTTCATGAAATAAGCTACAAACCAGTAATGAATGATTCAGTTGTTCGAAATAAAACTACTCACTTTAAAATGTAATTATTTTATTAAAAGAATACTTCGTATGTGAAATGATTAAACGTATAAACATAATCACTTACAGACACTGTCGTTTCATATTATATATCGAATAATAAAGGATAATATTATGGATCGGTGAACTTAAAAATCTCATCTTCAAGTAAAAGAAGGACACAATGGTAACGACACAAAACACTGTCTATCTAAGAGTTAAAAATATATCTTAGAATTCTGGAAGTAAATATGGATTCTTTACTACAGTTTGTAGGCACACGTTACGTAAATACATACACGCACACACACACACACACACATATATATATTTGCTAGATTAAACAATGATATATATAAAAGCAGACATAGTTTAAAACAGACTGTATTTGAGAGTATAAGCGTGTTTTCCCCACATTTTTCATGCGAAGTTAGAAACTATATTACGTGCCCTGCTGTTTAGCACAGAGGAGAACCAGGAGTTCTTTAATCTCGGACTCTGTTGACAGTTTCATGTGGTTATAACTCATACTGTAAGGTGACGTCTGGTTTCGCTAATGTTTAAAATCTTACATCATCAAGTAATGAGTAGAGTTACGAATCTATATGTTCTTTATCATGTTTAATAATTACTCGTTTATTATGTGAGAATATTTCATTACACTGCAGGCTTTCTTGTGTACAAGAAAAGTGTTTGCTTGCGAGCACATAATTTATTTGTGACTTGGGTGTGCTGCCATCTTTTGAAAATATAATGAAATACAGAATGTTTTAAAATCCTTTTAATACACGTATATTAAACACTTCAGGGTATAACTTGTGTTTTATAGTTCATCTGTTGATAGCACTTTTACGTTTCTAAACAAGTTCAGTTTCACCGTTAAAATAAATTACCTTGAAATCATATGTAGAAAAATACAAGTTCGGTAACAATCCAACATAGTTATATCGGATGAAATACAGCATTACATAAGCAAGTTTATAATCACTCGTATCGCACTACCGACACCTATCAGTAATGTACATAAGCAAGTTCATAATCACTTGTATCGCACTACCGACACCTATCAGTAATGTTTTTGCTCAACTTTTTTATTTCTTCAGAAATATGGGATACAAGTGCGAACAAACGTTAGTTTGAGAGTCACATAAAATAAAAATCACGATACCGATAACTCTGCAACTGTAGCAGATGTTTTAGAAAACCTCCAGTGGGCTAACAAACCACTGAAGAGAACTTTGTAACATATATGTATTTAATAGTGTTGAACGCTTATGTTGACTAATATACTGATTGATATCAGTATTTGAAAATGTCATTGCTTTCGGTATCAGCTCAAGAAGATGTAGACAAAAGTTGGCAATTTTTTCATTAAATTTTTTTATTGTTCAAATTAATATCGATTTGTCTCCTGGTCACTCGGCGGTACGTCTATGGGCTTATAACGCTAAAAAATGGGTTTCGATACCTGCGGTGGGCATAATATTGATAGCCCATTGTGTAGCTTTGCGCTTAACAACAAACAATCATACTGATTTTTATAGCTTCATCTTTATGTACGTTTGTTGTATATTTAAATATTTATAGATAAAGTTATGAAATAGATTAAGTAAACAACAACTAGGAAAGTGTCGTGTTTACAAGTTGTAGTTTTGTTTTTAATAGCGGTGAGTTTCATGATGTCGATAGTCCTGAATCGAATGTCCCGATTGTAGCGCCATCTTGTAGATCTCAAGCTACAGGTACTTGTCTCAGGTTATCCTGCTTCATACGCATTTTTCAGCACATCATTACCAATTGAACTTAGCTGTTGGTAACCTGTTGACCATAAACATCGTGTTATCCCGTTTCATAGACGTTTGCTAACAGATTAGTGCCGAATGTGAGGATGTTATATCTTATTGTTGGTCACAAATTACCTGTGTTTATCTGAAGTCCTCCTTCGTTAACCTCTACCCAGGTACCATTAACTATACAATCTAATGTTCACCACGCCATTTTCGGTATATATGTAGTGATTTGCGCGCGATTTCACGAATTGGAAGGTTCCAAGTTCAAACCTCGGCATGCTTCTGAACACATTATAGAAACATTATAACTGTAAAAACTAATCCATCTATTCGGTTAAGAGAAACTATATATGCGGAGGATGCTGTCTTTCCTCTGGTTAGCAGCTAATTATAGATCGTTATACCTGAACCCTAGGGGTCTCTGAC